TTCTGATAAGTTTCTTCATTTTCTTTCAATGTTATTGATATTATAAAAGAATAATGTAAACTTATATTTCTTTCAAGGTTATTTTTTATATGTTGATAATTATGGAAATATGAAAGAATGAATGTAAATACTTTTATTTTTTGAAAAAATAATGCAGTGTGTTCAAGGACACGTATCTAAAATTTAAATTTTGATTTCAAAAAATGGTTTCAAAACCAATCGCTAGAGGGCGCGCCACCTGTAACTCATTGATTTCTGATCAAGCCCTCTAGCGGAAAGGGCAAAAGCTTTTTATTTGAATAGAATTGTTACGTTTTAACCGAGTAAAGTAGATTTATATTAAAGTTTATTGCGTATATTTCCTTCGAAATAAAATTTGAAGCTATAGAAATAACTAAACAATATATTTTATAATTTTTAATATTATTTTATTTTTAAATTAATTAGAATTAAATCATTTTAATGAGTTTTGTACTTGAGCGAAAATCTAACATAATGATGTCAAAAAGTTTAATCAGTTAATATTTTAATATAACATCATTTTATTTATAGTATATGCCAAAACCAAAATTACTTACATTTCAAATGGGAAGTAATATATAAAAAATAAGAATATTAATGAATTAAAATTGAATGTAAATACAATCAAACCTCTATACAAAGGCCAATAGATTGAACTGATGGAAGAAGCCAACTCAACACATGTTCTTCTACTTATATGGGGAGGTTTTTATATGGAAAATTGACCCCTATATAGGCGTTGGCCACGTGAAGAAAACTCCACGTGACCAACCAATTTCAGATACGAACCCGCGACTTTATAAATAAGGACATAAATGGCCGTTGTTTGGAGGTTATTTTATATGCATTTTTGTTCAAAAAAAACTTCCTAAAAATGGCCGCTGTTTACAGGTGGCCGTTGTTATTAAGAAGGGACCAAGATTGGAGTTCGAATATATTTTTAAATAATTCGAATATTTTGATTAAATTAATCGATTATTAGACAAATTTATTAGTTTATGATCCTAAATTTATATTATTTTGGTCATAGCTTCTGTCGTTAGTCGGTTGCTACCATTCTCGAGTTTCGAAGCAACAAGTGAATGCTAAAAATCTCTTTCATTGGTTATCTATTGTGACGTAAAGATATCGATTGTTCTTTCACTTTTATGAGTAAACGCTTTACGTAAAAGGCAGTCATTAATGTATAATGATCACAAGTTTTTAAAACTCCTTAAATATAGTTATTATTAATAGAAACTTCTCTTGCGTAATTCATTTATGAATATGAATTTTACCGTTCCAGGTACGAAATGTTGTTTCCAAGAGTCCAACAAATGAAAGTAAGTCTTTCATAATATTCTATATTTATTAAGTATTATATGAACTTTCAAGTTTCATATTTCTCCTCCCGTTTAATTAAGCTGTTTACATGTAAACTAATCCAATATTATAACTTAAACTTTACTCGATAATAAACAAATTTGAGGTTTCATCTTTCATTTCTTATACTTATTTAGTAGAAGTAACTAATTAATGTATTTTAAAAATTAAGAAATTTTAGATTTCAATTAAGAAATATTTATTTTTTAATTAATATATTAAGGTATAAAATAATTAAATGATTTCCTATTTTGAAACTAGAAACTTCTATATATTGCTCTGGAAATTTCTCGCCCACCAGTGGAGTGGATAAAGCCACTGACTGAACACTGGTAGTTGGTCGTGGGTTCTCACCTCGCAAACTTGGGCTAATCACGCGGAATTTTTCGGGTGTTTTCACTTGTATAATACTTAAATAGGGCCACTTTCCTATAGAAAGTCCTCCCGGGAGGCATCACCCATCAGCAGATTGCCCACGTGTCACGCCATCAGATTTGATATGAGATGAAAAGTTCTGTTTTAATAGAAAAATCGTTCTTGTAATTAGTGACTTCTAAATACAATTATACTTAGAAGAACATTAATTTTGTCATAATTTGTTAAGAAAATTGATAAGCTTTGTCTACGAAATTTCATTAACTTATTTGTAAGTACTGTTTGAAGTTGTTTATATACGTAGTTAAAGTTTACGGGACTTAATTGTAACTTGTTATTTGGGTTTAATCTTAAGAGAATTAACAGAAAATAAACTTGTTTACAAGATAAGTGTGCCAAATATGGGATACGCTAAGGAATTTTTATTTATTTGTCTAACTTATTTACTTAGCAGATGGATATAAATTTACAAGTGTATGCAGCACATAGCAGTGCTCATAATAAAATATTGATAGGATCATAGAACATTATTTACGGGTTTTAAATGTCATCCATGAGACACATTAGGAACGCCGTATGCCTAATGTGATCACCTGTTATGCCCATTCTAGGGCTAGGTTTTTTAATTAAGAAGAATGGAAAACGTGCGGACACTTAATTGCCATGTTAGGAACTCACGTACTTGGATTTGAAGCGTAAATAACTTATAAGTCTAACTGGTTTAAAACTACTTTTAAGTAAAGGAAAAGGCCAAAATAACGGGTTTTGATAATCTACAATAATAAAAGAGGCTTTCTTAATTTTATTACGTGATTGATTTGAATCGCGGGTCATTATGAAAACTTCTTTTATGAATACACATTTATAGGTGCTAACAACTAGCGAATATGGCTGTCAGAAACGGAGAAATGTTAGGAATATGTCCATATTTAGAGCACTTACCATCATTTATGGAAGTTTATCGTGTTTCTGAGGCAGCTCACTAGTGCCCGAGTGGATAAAGCAAGTGAATGCTGGCAGTTGGTCGCGGGTTCACACAGCTGGCCACGTGGATTTTTCCGAAGTTTCTTCACAGCTAAAATCTAAATCTTCCTTAAAAAGTACTTCCAGGAGGTCCCTTTGGAAATGCATCTCCAAGTGTTGCTATTGCCCCATCAATCCAATAGTAAGGAAAAGTCATTCAAACTCCAGTGTTTACTCCCTGTATAAATCCGAAATATAAATACGTATACATATATAGGTTAACAAACTTTTGGACCAAACATGTATATATTATTATTATTTTAAGAACGGATAGTTAGAAACAACTGTTAAATAATACATCGGTTAACCGAATTTTGGATCACACACTGTAAGTATAATGCTTCCCATTACGATAATATTTAATAAATACAGTATAATAAACTCGTCTATACCCTGAAAATTAAGCTTTTTGCCATTTTATAATAATTAATAATATAAAAAGTGTTTTTAAATAAAATCTCTAACAGATGGCGCAACATGCAATTTTACTCTTGCCGGGAAAGTTACGCAACTTTTTTTTTGTTTAATTTTTACTTTTAAGTAAACAACTGAAGAAATATTAATAAAAAAATTGATTTTTGTACTTTAAATTCTTAAAGGTATTTGCCTAATTTTAAAATAATTTTTAACTGGATGCTGCTTCATTAACTGTAATGTCACCGGATTAAGGAAGAGTCATTCAAACTCATTAATTTACCTTTAATTTTTTTTCTTCTTATTGTTTAAGACTTTCTTCTAGATTTCGTCAAACTATTAATTACTTAATCGGACGGCTTCATTTATTTTATTTTTCTTACAATTGATTAACACGATGATAATTTATTTATGTTTCTGTCCGATAAAGCGATTAACCACGGTCGTTTATTTTTCTAAAAACAGTTTTTTTTTTTTATTTAAGTTACTTAAATAAAACATCTTTCTTGTAATAAATTTGAAATTTTTGTATAGCAGTTAATTATGTAAATTGCCTCTTTATTAGTTTTTAAAATTAAAATAATTCGATTTAAGTAGTAAGTTCCCTAGGTGATCTATTTCGTGCTTTTCCGCCATATTGAATGCGATGCGACGCGAATTCTAGCGATTTTAGAAAAGTATAAACTGTCTTTTTATAGAAGGATTGGATTGATAGAATAAAGCAATGCGACATTTGGACGATCTGCCAAAGAGCCGATTCCTAACGAGAGGACTTTCTATGGTAAATTGGCTTCTATATTTGTGTTAGACACTCGAAGAAAACCTGAAAACTCCACGTGGCTAACCTGTTGGTTAGACGCGAACCCACTGATTTCTTTGTATTAAAGACTCTAAAAGAGATAGGCTGCTATGCCTCGAGGCATAATGCCAAGGCCCTTTATGTGGGCACGAATACGTCATAATATTGAAAGCAAAATTGTTGTGATTATTAGTTTAAATAAAATTTTCTCTGTAACTTTCATTAAAATTGATTTTATAACATGTATAATTAATCAAAATACTGTAAATTAATTTATTGCTAAAATTACTCCACGGCTCTTTAATCATCTTTACTCTTGTAATATATAAAAATTCTTGTATAATCTTTTTCTGATAAAATATAAAGTCATTAGTATTGAATTTTCTTTAATGACTTTTATCTTTTTCCAGGATGCCCCTTGACTAAGAACTGCATGAAAATGACAGAACATCCTCAAGCAACAACACTGCTCAACGAGCAGGAAGTGAATCCAGCATTATCAGATCAAGATGTAAACAGTACTTTAGACTTCAAAAGAGTCACGGCAAACGAAATCGTCACGGCCACTGTGTTATCAGTGGTGATATTAATTATCGTCATTGGGAACTTGCTCGTGATTATAGCAGTCAGCACAACGCCCAGACTGAGAACAGTTACGAACTTTTTCGTGGTATCGTTAGCAGTAACGGATCTACTTATGGGCCTTCTTGTAACACCATTGGCTGTTGTACGAGAATTTACATCAACCTGGGTATTTGGGAGGATTTTTTGCGAGTTGTGGATATCTTTAGATGTCTTTCTGTGTACCGCTTCCATTCTGAACTTATGTTGTATCAGCCTGGATCGATACTTTGCAATCACTTCACCGCTTACTTACGCTGTAAAGAGGAGTGGACGTTTAGCTCTATTTATGGTAGCTTTAGTCTGGATCCTCTCAGCAGCAATCACCTGCCCACCCGCATTTGGCTGGCACGAAACAGGCCGCAACAATTCACCCACTTGTGAATACAACAGCGACAGAGGTTACATTGTATACTCGGCTTTAGGGTCATTTTACATACCGGCATTCGTTATTGTTTTTGTATACTGGAGGATATTTGCAGTTGCCAGGAAGAGGCAAGCCATTCTTATTCAGGGTGACCAAGAAGTGACGATTTCTCAAACACTGGACAGCGAATCATCGCAGTCGGAAGGCGTAACCGCTAAGGCAATGACAATAGAAAGTGATAACAAGAAAGAGATATTTATATTATCGAAAAATATACCGAAAGATAACTGTAATAATTGTGAAAATTCGAAAAAATCCGAGACTCATAACGGTTGGAACCGTAGCACAAAATCAAAAAGTTCGCTCAATACTTACAGGATCCATTCGTGCCATCAACCAAGAAGAGATGGTTACGAAAGGGCAGCATTTCAGAGAGAAAGAAGAGTTGCCAAATCTCTATCCATTGTAGTTGGAGGATTTTTACTTTGCTGGTCACCATTTTTTGCTGTTTATCTCATAGAGCCATTCTGTAGCACCTGTACTTTTCACCCGATTCTACTCCGATGTCTTGTATGGTTAGGGTGGCTTAATTCGGCCATCAATCCCTTTATCTATGCTCTAAATAATAAAGATTTTAAGAGGGCCTTTCTCAGGCTTACTATATATAGAGTTAGAAGGCCTTGGAAGGTTCCAAGACGACACAATCCCAGTCATTATAATTAGGACTAAGCCAAGTAACTTTTTTTTTTAACTTGGCAACAGCATTCTAGTCAGAAATGTTAATAAAATCATATAGAACTTACGTATGTGAATCAAAATTTGAAAAATTTTACTTCTGGTCAAAGATTTTAAGTGAAATTTTAAGTAAAAACTTGATATTTCCCTTCGAAAATTGAGGGAAATTGTTAAATTTCTCAATTAAAATATTTTTAATAGATGATTTTCAATTTAAAAAGTGAAATCATTATAAAAATTAATCGTAATTATCTTTATTAATGTATTTTCCTTTGTAAATAGCTAAATGACAATAAACATGTCTACTTACTGTCAGAAATGTCCATCACATATAACACTGTAAATTCTTTTTTCTTCTGTAATTCGATGTCGTTACTAATTAAATCCAATTAAAAATAATTTAATTAACTNTTAAAAATAATTTAATTAACTTTTAACAATTAAATTAAGATTATAAATCTGTTTCTAAATTAATAACACGATTTTTTAAAAAAATAATTGTTTATAAAATTGTATTGTTATTAAAGTATTGATCTTTTGTAAGTTATGGAAATTACTGAAAATTAATAATTATAAATTAAAATCTGTTATCTGTTGTACATAAAGTATATAATTAAATATTTAAAAATAAAATTAAAGAATGAAAAATTTAATTTTTTTAAATAATTTTTGTGTATTTTTAAAAAAAAACAAAATGATTTAGAAGCCATTTTAATTCTATAAAATTCAGTTAAAATAATAAAAAATTAAATAAATTCTCGAAAGAAAACACACGAAACTATTTTTAAATTTAAATTTGTAATCGAATTTAACGGTCAAAAATGTAAGGAGCCAATCAAAATGCTTGTAGCTAACGAAATGAACAGAAATCAATTACGTTAGAATAGGAAATGACGTAACAATAATCGATTGTGATTGAGTTATAACAAATTATGCCTCATAAAAAAGTTCGTTTGATGCTGAAGAAAACAGGAAATATTTAATTTACTAACATTTTCGCCCATTTTGTAGCAAAACTAGCGCAATAGTGAGGAAGACGTAGAAATCAGCAGATATAACATCATAGTAATCATAATGAAGGTGAAATTATATTGTCACGGGTTTAAAATTTAGGTAATATAGGTACTACTTCCGCTTAAACTTTGAAACATTGTTTCTGTGAAGGCTAATGCATACTAAAGAGAGCTTACCGTATATAGAGTAAGAAGACCTCGAAAAGCGCTACTTCGGGGTACACTTATTCATAGGAACTATAAACCGAGCTGTAAACAATTAAATTAGTGATGGAACACGGTAAAAAACATGTAACAAACGTGTGGTAAAACATATCCAGCTATTAAACTATCTCGATATAGCACCACTCTCGTAAAGCGCAATGAATACGTTTTACTTACTTGTGTGATCCTAAACACACACAATATAATCACAGAACCACGGATTTCAGTCATTGTTTCTTAAATCTACTATACCGGGGTGCTCAATATCGAGGTTCAATAGTATTGTACGTATATAATTAGTCATTACACTTTGTTTTTCTACTTTATAACTTGATACTGATTTGATTTGTCGTTCTAAACAACCGAAATTCTAATTTTA